AAATGGTTAATGATTACAACCAATTCTTTTAAAGGTAAAAGGGGGATTATGTTATAGAGATGAATACTTTGTTTTAAAATGGATTTTCATTTATTGATACAATTTAAGGTCAATTTTGTGATTTGTATATTTCTCCTCTTGTTTATGTATTGTGTTTGTATAGCTCATTTAAAAATGTAATGTATAATTTAATACAGATTATAGATAGTACCTGTGATAGTCAAAACTTAGAGTTAAGATAGGTTTTAAAGATACACAGAGATGTATTTGAGATGAATAGGCATTCTTCAAACCTTTCAAAGACCTAAATAATATGGCATTTAAAATGGTTTAGGGTTTTACTTAACAGTGAGGCACAACTGCTCCTGGCAACACCACCTGCATCAGAAAGGAAGATGGACCTTGAAGAAACACATTATGGAATTTGCTATCAATATGGCAAGAGTAGATATTTGGGTAAGATACTGCTCTTGTCTAGACTGTTTGAGTTTATGCTGTATAAACTGGACATGCAGGACCCACAGGAAAGTGATTGCTGATACAAGATGGACATTGCTACAGGGTTCCTGCTTCATAGAAGAGTCTGCCAGACTCTTCTCTGCAGGTCCCAGAGAAAAGTGACTGACAAACTGCCAATACAGATGGACAGTTTAAAGTTTCCTGGTTTGCTGAGGAGTCTTCCAGACACACTATGGCCTATAGGCTGAAGATGGAACATTTTAGAAGTACTTCAGGTGACTGACCAGGTGGCGAATATTCTCTGTCATTTCTAGAGTTTATATATTATTCTTCTGTGGTCTTTGACGGAGTTGAAGACATAGTTATGGGTATAGTTTTCTTTAGTTAGGATTAAAGTTAAGTTACATATAGGACTTCAGACTTATAAAGTTAGGATAGATGATGAAATATATTGTTTAAATCTTGCTAAATGTTAATGGACTAATGTAAGGAGTATGGTTTTTCCGCCTGCCGCCTGGTCTTGTCCCGCAGCTGCGCCAGCCCCAAATAATACACAGAGACTCTGTATTTGATACAATGCTGTTGGCCCTGTTACTTGTTTCTTATCGGCTAGCTCTGCCTTAATTATTAACCCATTTCTGCTGATCTATGTATTTCTCTTACCAGGGAGGCGGCTGGCGTCCAGCTCTCTCCTGACTCTCTATCTTGACTCCTCTTTACTACTTCCTATTTCCTCCTTGTCTCCTAGTCCCTCCTATCTTCCTCTCCTATTGGCCAACAGTGCTTTATTATTAACCAGTATGAGAAACATATACAGAATGACATCTCCCATCAGACTAAACATTGTTAACTGTGGTTCGTATTTGATAACTGTTTTGTTATACATTTTGCTATGGTAACATTAAAACCCTTCTTTTTATGTTAGATAGAAAAGAGAAGATGATGGGAGGTGTCATTCTGTAAATATGTTTCTCTTACTGGTTAATGAATAAAGCACTGTTGGCCAATAGGAAAAGAAGATAGGCAGGACTAGGAGACTAGGAGAAGAGAGGGAGTAGGAGGGAGGAGATCCAGGATGGAAGATAGAAAGAAAAATGCCAACCCCTCTCTCTGGTAAGAAAAGACCACGTGGAAATACTTAGGTTAATAGAAATGGGTTAAATATTAAGACAGAGCTAGAGCTAGGCAATTAGAGAAAAAAATTGAAATGTGAAGAATTTTTTCTTCTTAATATGGAAACGTGTTATATAGTAATGACAAGGTTAGTGTATTTATAGAAGAAAAGCCATACAAAGATCAATGGAACAAAGGAAGACTCTAGAAACAGACCTAATTAAACAATATTGAAAAAAATTTAGCAGTAGATCAAAAATTATTTGTGTAGCTTCATTGGCTTCTTGAACAATTCTATCTGTAGATTTTGCTATCTATATTCAAACACAAATCTGAGGTAATACATATGGAAATACATACAAATTAGTAATTTACATATTATTTAGAAATAAACACAAAGCACCTCAATGACAATTAAAAAATAAAATGTTCATAGCAAAAATCTAGAAGAATGTCTTAAGAAGCACTTGCTGGGTAAAGAATTCAAAATGTAAAGTTGATGCAACTGATCCTTAAAATTAAGAAATTTTACTGTGCCCAGCCATAGTTAGAGACTAAACACAGGAGTAAATCATTAGATAATATGCATTCTTCCAATGATGTTACAGAAAGCTCATAATTTCATACAGTTATGTCCACTATCATCATCCTTTAGAGAAGTGGCAGATAAGTCATCAAGACATCCATATATAAATACCTCCTCCTAGCCTGGTAGCATAGAAACTATTGTTAGCACTCATAACAAAAGCTAAGGAAGGTTGAGGGAAATGCGATTACTCATAAATCACTCTTAGATAAGCCGCAGTATTCCAAACTAGAAAAGTTTGCCAGTTCCTAAAAGTATTACACATACAATGGTGTAAGACCCATGGCCTCAATTGATTGTGGCAATTTCATTCAAAAGGATAAAACACTGGAAATAATCAAGTACTCTTTAGCAATTTCAAGTTCACTCATACTGTGTAATAATGTCCATGAGTGCACAAGGAAGGCTAATGGATATACATGGCACCCTCATGCAGTATTTGCTGAGTGAAAACAATCCATCCCAGAGGTCATATCCGAGCCGTATCATATTCTAATAATACCATATATAACAGTAGAGAAGAGACTGTGATTGCTAGGTGTGGAGGAAGGATGCTGTGTAGCAATAAAGACACAACATGAGGGACATTTGGATGTCCATGTTGACAAGAACAAGATGTAGTTTTAGTTTATTAAGCATCACTTAACCTGACTGCAGTCACTTGCCTAATTTAGGAAGATGTTACTTACTACTGTGAGTAACCAGGGCAAAGAATACCCACACTCCTTATAATTTCTAACATTTGCATGCAAATTTATAATTACCTCAAAACAAAACTTAATTAAAACATCCTCTGTGTCTAATACATGTGTTTAGAAGACTAGATTTTTCTTTATATGTTGCAAGACAAACACCCAGTGGCAAACAATTGTACAAGGAAGTTGGTTTAAGATTTCATCTTGTTTCTCTTAAGTCAGGCATTTAGCAATTCACAAAAACATAAAGCAATACAAGTCATAATTATAAATAACTTTAATTTGCAAAATACTTATTTTTAAAGCACCCTTTTATGGTAATACGGCATTCATTTTAATTTTTAATAAATTATAAAAATAATTGAAATATATTCATTTCTAATGCAGCAATGATGGGAGAAGCCAGAGATGATAACAATGGAAACAGAAAAGAAGAGTTTAGGAACTTTCTATCAAGTCAGACTTTTAGGTTAACAGACATCTATCTAGGTTTAAATACAAGACACAGTAAGCCTGAGGCTTAAGCAGCAAAGTGTTGATTCACAACACAATTACCTGAATATTTCTACATAATGTAATAACTGGAAAGTATAATGGCCTCCACACAAGGATGTCATGCTAAATGTCATCACATTGTTTCCCAGTAAGAAACTGGAGTCTGCCCTCATCTCAGTCTTGCCCCTTCTATGCACTCCACTTGAGGTGAGTCTGGGACCAGCTCAGGTCCACCTGCCCCACTCTCTCCTTGGAACTTCCTGGGTCAGCTCTACACATAGCACACATGGACCCTGGGACATGGACCACATGCTCTCATCTCAGTATGGCTCTGTGTTTTGAAACTCCTATGCCCATTGCTTGAGTGGACCCACCCTGGCATGCCAGACCAACTGAAGCCTGACCTCATCTCAGTCTTGGTGCACTTATGTCCTGTGTTTGTGTCTTGGACCCCCATGCCATCTGTGTGAGAACTCCAAAAGACCTCAGACCATCCACAGTTACTGACATTGAAGTCCTGACCCATCTACACCCAACAGGAGAGGCAAGCAAAGAGAGAGAAAGCACCTGCATGCACTGGAAGAAGGGATGGGAGGATGACAGAAAAAGACACATTCAACAATAAAGAGACAAATATGACAACACTGGAATGTGGGGACTCTACACCAACAAGACTGAACATACCAACACAGATGAAGCAGAAGAGAAGGTCCTTAAAAATAACTTTATGTAGATGATAGAGATCCTCAAAGAGGAAATGAGAAAATATCTTAAAGAAATGGAAGAAAAACAAACAAAAAAATTTAAAGATATCAACAAGTCTTTTGAACATAGCAAGGAAAGCCAAGGGAAAAAAAAAACAATCAAAAGAAGGATAAAATGCAAATGGTACAAGACATGAAAACCGAAATTAAGACAATAAAGAAAACAAAAAGCTGAGGATGCTGGAAATAGGAAAGCTGGGTAAACGATGAGGAACTACAGATGCAAGGATAACCAACAGAGTACAAGAGATGGAAGAGAGAATCTCAGGTGCTGAAGATCAACTAGAGGAAATAGATTCATTGACCAAAAAAAAAATCTTAAATCCAACAAATCCTTAACACAAAATATCCAGGAAATATGGGACACTGTGTAAAGACCAAACATAAGAATAATAGGTATAGAAGAAGGCAAAGAAACACAGCACAAAGAAGCATAAAACATATTCAACAAAATCATAGAAAAAAAAAAAAAACTTTCCCAACCTGAAGAAGGACATACCTATGGAAGGGTATTGAATACCTGTATGAGTATGTTTTTCCTGCCAGCCTAGACACACTGAGGCGCCAGCCCCAAATAATACAATAATACACAGAGACATTATATTTGATATAAATGCTGTTGGCTTGTTACTAGTTTCTTATAGGATAGCTCTGTCTTAATTATTAACCCATTTCTATTAATCTAAGTATTTCCACGTGGTCGCATCTTACCGGAGAGTGGGCCTGGACCTCTATTCTCTCCAATCTCTACATGCTGACTCTTCCCTACTACTTTCTATTTCCTCCTTGTCTCCTAGTCCCTCCTGTCTTCCTTTCCTATTGGCCAACAGTGCTTTATTTATCAACCAATAAGAGAAACATATTTACCGAATGACAACATCCATCATCGCCCAGCTAGCTTAGTTGGTAGAGCATGAGACCCTTAATCTCAGGGTCGTGGGTTCAGGACCCACGTTGGGCACCAAATACCAAATAGACTGGACCAAAGGGGAAAAAAAGTCCCCTTGCCACTTAATAATCAAAACATAAAACATACAGAATAAAGAAATAATATTAAGAACAGTGAAGGTAAAAGGGCATTTACATATAAAAGCAGACCTACTAGAATTGCACCTGACTTCATGGAAACTCTGAAAGCTGGAAGGTCCTCGATAGATGTCCTACTAAGACTAAGAGACCACAGATGCCAGCCCAGACTACTATGACCAGAAACACTCTCAATCACCATAGATGGAGAAAACAAGATATTCCATGACAACCAGATTTATACAATACATAGCCACAAATCCTGCCCTACAGAAAGTTATGGAAGAAAATCCCCAACCCAAGGGAGTTAACTACACTCATAAAAACCTAGGTGATAGATAATCCCATAAAAGCCAGAAAAAAGTGAAAAAATTCACATACAATACCACCAAAACACAAATCCAAAACAAACAATAATCAAAAATCAATGGTATCAATATATTTCAATATCAATGGTTTTAACTGACCTATAAAAAGACATAGGCTAACAGAATTGATAAGAAGACAGAATCTATCCTTCTGCTGCATACTAGAAACACACTTCAACCTCATAGACAGACATTACTTCAGAGTAGGGTTGGGAAAAGATTTTATAATCAAATGGCCCTATGAAGCAAGCTGGTGTAGCTATGTTAATATCTAACTGATTAGATTTCAAACTAAAATTAATAAAAAGACATGAAGAAGGTAATTTCATATTCATCACAGGAAAAAGATCTATCAGGATAAAGTATCAATTCTGAAATCTGCACCAAATGCAAAGGCACCCACATCGTAAAAAAATTTACTAAAACTCAAATCACATACTAAACCACACACATTATAGTGGGAGCCATTAACATCCCACTATCATCACTGGATAGGTCCATCAGACAGAAGCTTAACAAAGAAACAAAGGAACTAACAGAAGTTATGACCCAACTGGGCTTAATAGACATCTATAGACAATTTCATCCAAATACAAAAGAATATACCTTCTTCGCAGCACCACATGGGGCCTTCTCTAAAATCAAACACATCCTTGGCAATAAAACAAGCATCAACAGATTAAAAAAATTTGGAATAACTTCTATCTTATTGGATCACCATGCCTTAAAATTAGAATTCAGCCACAACACAAATTGCAAAAACCCTATAATCTCACAGAAATTGGACAATGCTCAACTGCACCACTCCTGGGTAAATGAAGAAATAAATAAAGGACATCCTAGAATTCAATGAAAATGAAGAAACAACATACCTAAATGGTAAAAGAGGTGCAAAGAAGAAAGTTCTTAGCACTAAGTGCCCACATGAAGAAACTGGAGAATAGCCACACTAGAGAATTAACAGAACACCTGAAAGCTCTAGAACAAAAAGAACCAAATTCACACAGGAGGAATAGATGCCAGGAAATAATCAAATTGAGAACTGAAATCAATAAAGGAGAAACAAACAAAAATACAAAGAATCAATGAAACAAAGAGTTGGCTCTTTGAAAAAAAATCAACAAGATAGACAAACCTTTATCCAACCTAACCAAAAGGCAGAGAATGAACATGCAAATTAACAGAATTAGACACTGAGGGAATCCAAAGCATCATCAGTTCATACTTTGAAAACCTTTACTCCATCTACATATTTAGAAAATTTAAAGGAAATGGACAATTTTCTGGATAGATATCACTTACCAAAATAAGTCAAGATCAGATACACAATTTAAATAGACCTATTCTGAAGGCAGGACAAAAGGAGGGGGAGGAGAACAAGAGGGATCAGGAAGATTGAATGGGGAGATGAAAAAAGGAGAGCAAGAAAAGAGACATATTATAGTTTGAAAGAGAAATCTGGCACTAGGGAATTGTAAGGAGATCCACAACGATGACCCCAACTAGGAATCTAAGCAATTGTGGAGAGGTAACATAAATGAGAATGATGACTATCTTAAAGGCTATCCTAGAACCTTCATTCTCTAGATGATGGAAGCAGAAGCAGAGATCCACAGCTAAGCATTGAGCCAAACTCCTGGAATCCAGTTTCAGAGAAGGAGGAGTGATGAACAAAGGGGGTCAAGACCATGCTGGAAAATCCACAGAAACAGCTGACCTGAGCAAGTAGGAACTCATGGACCACAGTCTGATAGCTGGGGAACCAATGACCAAACCAGGCCATCTGATTGTGGGTTCAGCTAGGAGGACTGGGGAGTCTAGTGGAACCAGGATGTAGCCCTAGTACAAATAGACTTAAGGAGCCCATTCCCTAGAGACATGGGGGAGGGCCTAGGCCCTACCCCAAGTGATTTGACAGATTATGATCATCTCTCATGGAAGGCCACACTGTCCCTGGGGAGTGGATGTGGGATGGGATGGGGTGGCTGGTGGGGAATATGGAAGGATGGGAGGGAGAGAGAATTGGGATTGATATGTAAAGTAAGAAAAAATATTAATTATAAAAGAAACTGGAGACTTCATAAACACTTCAACATTTAAGGAGTCTAAGCATGTAACAAAGGACCTTAACAGCATTAGATCACCTCAGAACCAACACAGAAATGTATATGATTAAATGACAGAGAAGAGGCCTTAAGTGTTGATCTTTTATTAATTTTCTATGAAAGAAAATAAGTTTTTTTTCAAGCTGTCTGACATGAAAACCAGTATTCTACCCACAGAACTGCATTTTTCCCTCTGTCCCTGTTGCTGGAAGTATTGAAGACTACCCTCACCTAAGACTTTTATACTAAAAAACCTCTTCCTATCAAAGCACATGGATTCACAACAAATACAAATTAATTACAGGCATTTTGGAATTTGTTGGATAAATTATTGCCTTTGTCACAAGCTGCCATTAGCAAAATCGTGACTTGGCTGAGGCTGACATTCAGGAAGTTTTCTGCAGACTTGGGCACTGCTCTCGTCTCTGCAGTGGTACTCACAGCTATTCCACAGTGCAGCCATTCCTCTAGTGAGATAAACTTCTGTTGCCTTCACTTCAGCAGCAGTAATTGCCACATTCTCCTTATTCCTATTGGTCCCCAAACTTGTTGGTCCTCACTCAAGATCTTTCCCTGAATCTTTCTCTGACTTTTTCCTCATAGACTTTTATGTCCAGGCTGAGCCACACTCACTGAGCATTGTCTGCTACACACCCTGTTGTATAGGAAAAAGTAACTGCCCATCAACTCCAATTCAGAGTTCTGAGTAGCCTTCACTTTTCACTGCTTTTCTGGATCACAAAGTCTTGGAGGTCCCTGGAACTTCCTACGTCTAACTGACCTTGTTACTCTTAGCAAGCATGACTACAGCCCTTCCTAATACTTGGGTTTGTTTTCAACTTTTCCCTAAGCTGGGGCATGTCTCAGGCACCATGATAAGACTCTCCACAGCTTCTGCCTATCATATCAAATTTACACCAAATTTTATAGCCTGCAATATGCATTCAGTTATCCATTAAAATTTGGCCACAGTACTCCCTTCATGATGTTCATTGCTGTCCCCAATTCAGAATTTTCAATTTTGGCATCCCTAGGCAACCTCTCAAATGGATTGGCAATTAGAACCCCCTTCTCCATGTAATTCCCCACCCTCCAGTTCAGCTTAACCCTGCTGTTCAGTTCCCACTTACAACTACAGCCAGAGTAGGACTAAATCAGCTCAGAAGAAAACTGATGTGAAAGTTATGCTCGATACTGATGACCAGTGTTTCTACTGGTCTCCAAGCATAATTCACTTAATTGAGATAGGACTCTGGTTTTGTTTTGGAGACTTCTTTCCCTTATGCCTTTAGTTTGCTGCCTTCAATTCTGTCCCACAAGGCTTTTGCTTCTATTTTTCAGTCACTTCTTAGGCTTTTCATGCTGCCTATTCCATCTGCAGACACACACACACACACAGACAGACAGAGACAGAGAGACACACACACAGAGAGAATAGAACATATTGGGAAATTGTCAAGCTAATATACTTTACTACAAAGCTGACTCTGAAGATGGGATTTGGCTTGTCTGCATGTTTATCTGAAGTTTCCTCGAAAGCCTCTGTCCTGGTCAGGCTGGTCTTCCGACTATGTGACAGGGAGAGGGATGATGTGGTGATATGTATGATTTAATAAAGTTTGTTCAGGGATTCAGAAACCAAAATCAGCCATAAACCTTAGAAGTCAGGCACACTCCTTTAATCTCAGCAGCCATAAACTAGGAGGTGGTGGATTAAGAGGTAGACTGAACTCTGAGTAGAAGACCACCCAGCTCTGCACAAGAGTGAATCAATCAGTCTGAAAGAGAATTATAATTCACACCTTAAATCCTGATATAAGGGAAGTATATATGACAGAAGCAAGGTCTCAGAGATGCATTTGTTCTCCAGCAACACTGAGGAGAAGCAGCAGTTTGAAACTCAGTGAAGAGCTCATGAATGGATCAGCCTGAGTAGAGATAAGAGGCTAGTGGCCAGCTGTTTTGCTTTTCTGATATACAGCTTGAAACATGAACCCCAATATCAGTGCCTGGCTCATTTATTTATTTGTGTTACAGGATAATATAAAGAACATTATAGACTTGAAAAAACAAACAAGCAAAAAAAAAAAAAAAAAAAAACCCATGCACTTGAGAAGGGCTAATATTATTTGTGCCATTAGGCAAACCCAGGATAGGGGCAACAAATCATGAGTTTCTGTATGGCTGTTATGTCTCACAGCATTTTTTTTTTAAAGAAAAGAAATTTATATATTAGTGTTTAGAATGGCTCAATGTACTTTCAGATGTCTAGCTCTCTGAGTCTCCCTCCCCTTCTTGGTTCTTGTTTACAAAAATGTTCATTTATGGTCATGAATATCTTAAAAGTTATTATTAAAATATAAACTATCCATCTCCCAATCTCTGTAGGACAGTTTGGGGACTGATGTAGTAAAATTTCAAAAAAAAATTTATCATGAAATTGGCAATATTAACTTGCTTAT